GAGGATGTTTCCTTGATTATCAAATTATCGAGAGTTAGTTTTATGTTCGCATATTGTTTCTTTCTGCTGAAGGTAATTATTTTAGACTTGGTGGAAGAAAATTTGAACCCTGACGTGAGTGACCATTTCTGCAATTTATTTAGTGCTTCTTGTAGTTGGGTCTGGGTAGTATGAAGGTTCCTTCCTTTGCATACTAGGGTTAAGTCGTCAGCAAATAAAAGTCCTTTGACCGGGACTGGTATGTTGTCCAGTATGTCATTTATAGCGATTAGGAATAGCGAAACACTTAAGACGGAGCCTTGAGGTACTCCGTTTTCTAGAATTTTTGTAGTGGATAGGACGTTGTTGGCTCTAACTTGGATAGTTCTTATAGATAGAAAGTTACTGATAAAATTAAGGATGTTTCCGCAAAGGCCAAAATTCTGGAGAATTCTTCGGATTCGGTTTCTCCAGACCATGTCATACGCTTTTTCTATATCTAAGCAAACAGCTGTTGCATACTGGTTATTAGCAAACGCGTCGCATACATTCATTTCCAGGTTTATTAGGTGGTCATATGTGGAGTGAAATTGTCGAAAGCCACTTTGTTGTTTAGCGATGAGGTGCCTTGATTCTAAGTACCATCGGAGTCTATAGTTTATAATTTTTTCCATTAATTTACACATTATGTTTGTTAGAGCAATCGGTCGATAACTGTTGGGGTCCGTTGGAGTTTTGCCTGGTTTCAAGACTGGGATGACAACCGCTTCTCTCCATTTGGTTGGGAAGATGTTGTGGGACCAAATGCAGTTGAATATTGCAAGTATGTAGTTAAGCGCCTCTTGTGGAAGATGGGTAAGGAAGATGTTGGGTATTCCATCGGGTCCGGGACTAGTATTCGAGCATTTGTTTAGGAAGTATAGCAGTTCATCAAATTGGATAGGAGAATTTAGGTTGGAGGAGTAAGGTGTTTCTTGGACTATGATTGGAGGCTTCGACGCGTTAGAATCAGTTTTCTGTTTGCAGATCTGAAACTGTTTTGAATAGTTGCAGTCACTGGAGTTTTTCTGGAAAGTCGTTACCAGGATTTCGGATATTTCGTTTGGGTCGGTGGAGATAGAGTTGTTTTCCTTATTTAAGGCTGGTATTGAGGAGTGTTGGTTTGAACCTTTGATAGCTCTTATCTTTTTCCAAATTGCTGAGGGAGGGGTATGTGGATTAAGAGTTGAGGTATAGTTTATCCATGATCGTCTTTTACTGTCCTTTGTGATCTTACGGGATACGGCTCGGTATTTCTTGAAGTTGATAAGGTTTTCTGCGGTTTTGTGTTTTTTGTACCGGTTGAAAGCATGTTTGCAGTCTTTCACAGCTTGTGAGCATTCTTCATTCCACCATGGATTATATTTGATGTTGGCGTTGGTGTTGTTTTTTGTCTTCGGGATGGCTGCACTGGCTGCTGCGATGATGGCTTCTGAGAAGTGTTCGAGTGCTAAGTTCAAGTTTGTTGGATTTATTTCTATGAGCAGGGAAGATGAGTCCAATATGACTTTCCGAAACATATCCCAATCAGCTTTCTGAAATTTCCATCTTGGGGCTTTATTAGTTTCAGTGATTCGGTTTAGTTTGCATGTCACCATTATAGGGAAGTAATACTAATACTGTCGTATAGGTCTTGTACTGTGTTCCATGTAATGTCTTGAGTGATTGTTGGACTGCATAGGGATAGGTCAATTGAACTGAACCGACCGGATGCCGAACAGAAGTGAGTGGGTTCGTTAGTGTTTAGTAAGCTGAGGTTTGCTGAGTTTATTATTTTTTCCATGGAATTTCCTCGCGAATCGGTCTTATGAGATCCCCAGAGGATATTGTGGCTATTAAAGTCGCCAAGTATAATGAAAGGTTTTGGAATTTGGTTTATTAGATGAGTGAGTTCGGATTCATCTAAGTGATGGCTGTTCGGTAGGTATATATTGCATATGTACAGATCTTTAGGGCATGTTACTTTAGTGATGATAACTTCTAGATTGGATGTGACTGTTATTTCTTGGCTGTGGATGTTATTTCTGACAAAGGTGGCGACTCCTCCACTTGCGTGGGCAGTGTTGCGATTTTTGAAATATGTTTTGTAGTTTTTGATTTTACCTGAATATGGTTTTTGAAGTTAGTTTTCTGTAGGCAGATTATTGTGTGGCTGAAATTCTTCGACTAGTAGTTGGAGGTGCTCGAGTCGGCTGTAGAAACCATTCAAGTTCCATTGGATAATTTGTAGTGACATAATGGATGTTTGGTTGGTGTCTTGGGTTTATAGGGGTTTTGGATCTGGGGAGGATGAGTTCCCCTCTTTCGAGAGGATGGTTTGTAGTGAGATTGCTGTTGCGAATTCTGTTTCTAGTTTTTTGATTAATCGGTGTAGTCTGTTTTTCATTCTTTGGTCTTGCATTAGGGGGTAGACTAGGTAAAGCATATGTATTAATGCTTTCTTGTCAGAAGTGTAGTCGTTCGCGATAATGTTTGGGTTTTCTGTGCCGATAGCATTTTCCAGGAAACTTTTCAGTTGAGAATAGTTAAGGATAAGATGGTTTGAGGGTCATCCAGAGCTGTTTTTGCTGGTTTTAGAATGTCGTCTATTTGTTCGATGATTCTTGTTAGTGATTGGCTGCGTTTGGGTTTCTTTTTCATAGTGGTGGGTGCAGGTTTATCGTTTGAATTAGAGTCGTTAACACATGGTCTTACGGGTGTTGAGATGGGCTTGTTTGTTGTCTGTTGGTCTTCTTCTGAGGTGTCTGATAGTGGTCTCTTTTTTAATTGAGCTTGAGGGTTTGCAATGGCAAGTAATGGGTTATTGTCTGCGCTGGAGTGAGCCGTAGTGGGGTTGGCTGGAATGTTGGCATTGGGGTCTTTTCCTGTCTCGCTGATTTCGGTTGTGGTTGGATTTTCGTTTGTGTAGTCTATGTTATATTGTGAGTTATTGACGCTTGACGTTGGTTCCGTATCGTTTAGTGTTAGGTTATTTCTCGTTTCCTTGTTGGCTGATGTGTTTGATATTGGTGTCTCGGTTTGAGTATTGCATTGGTTAGCAATATGCCCTTCTTGTTTGCACAAAAAACAGGTAACTTTGTCAGTAGATACAAAAATTCTGTACTGTGTGTCGTCGTAAGTGATTAGAAACGATTCGGGGAGTTTATGGACATCGTCTGGGTTTATATAAATTTGTCTTTTGAAGCTCATTATGTGGGAAAGACCGGGGTCTTGTAGTCCCGCTCTGAGGAAGGATAGTTTCGAGGTCAGTTTGATGTTATGGATTGTTAGTACTTTTTCGATGTAGTCATGTGGTATGGTAGGAGAAACGTTGGACAAAATAATTCGTTGTGATGGATTTATTAGGGGTCTGATTGGGGTGGATGTATTGTTTATGGGCAGTGATTTGAAATTGGAAACGAGGGCTTTTGTTGTTGTTTTACTATTGAGGTAAACACAGATTCTGTTGTTTGATATGCGGGAGATAAATCGTATGGCGTTGGGTCCAGTGATTTTTGCTACAGCTTGTGCATATTCCTTGATAGTAGTTCCGTCTATGACGTCGATTATTACTGCCTGATCCTTGGTTGGAAAAACACTGCTTACCGTGGCTGATGCATACGATTTTGTAGGCTGAACTGTTGTATTGGTTTGGGTATGGCTCGTTATATTTTCAAATTCCATGACTTCCATGACGGGTCTTCTGTATTTAGAAGGCTCACCGATAGCACTAACGTTGTTGTGTGGTGATCCGCGCACCGACACGGCACAGTAGGCTGAATTATAAACAAAGGAACTCGCGAGCGATTGTCAACACGTCTGATCGGTTTGACTGCCCGAGAACGAATCCTGAAAGTTTTGTTTTCACAGAAATTACAAAATTTTGTATTTAACTCTGATGGAAAGGCCGCTTCATTTACATTGATAAAATGTGAACGATTTTCGGATAGTCGTACCTTGTAGCTCGTACTTTTTACCTTATACTTCAGGCAAAAAGGGATATAGCTGGGAAAAACAGTTTTATGACATTACTTGCTAACTTATGTTACTGTTCTACAATGAAACGCTATGTTTTGTACCTTTAAAAATATTCGACTATGTGCTTTTAAAATTTAAGATACAACCCATACTTTGTATTAAACTGGCAAACGGGATCACTTTTCCTTTGTTTCTAGTTAGTTCTATTTAGTTCGTCATAACCAATTGATACGGTTATTTCAAACAATCGAGGAAAATCATTATTAATTAATTTCTTTCTGCAATTATTAATTCTACTGTTTTGTTTATGTTATAAAAGTAAGAACTCTTCTTATTGAAAAATACACACAGCGTGCACAATACTGGTAAGAGTGGAATCTCATTTTAATTTATTAATTTTCAATCTTAAAGTATTTTGATTTCAAAAATCGTATTAATAATATACATATGTGTGCTTATATACATGGGAATAAAAAAAATTTCTTTTTTTTCAATAATTAAAATATGATCAGGAGGTCTTAAAACGTGTATTTCCGTAAAATAAATTTTACAAAATTTTTTTTTCATTATGGGTACTTTGCTTATGTGCGCCTACATAGGTCGGAAAGTAAAAATGCCTGGGCAGTGGAGAATCTCGGCTCGAGAATCCAAATCGTATGCCGTTGACGGGAGGTCGGATTTCAGTTGTTTAGAGCGAGAAGGCAAATGTGAGCCTTTCTCTCTCGACTCCCACGAGGCGATCCGAAATTACTTCGGGCAGCTTCGGAGAATCGAGAAAGAGGGCATGCGTCAGTTTGCCTTTGTCGACTTTCCGAAACTCCACGATCTCACGTACGCGTATCTGGCATGTGTGCGTGTGCACCCGGCGGTGCTTTTCTGGCATCACTGACTCCAGGTAATGCTAGGGTTTTTGATTCGGAAAACTAAAACAATATGGCAACGTGCTGGAATAATTCCCCAGCTCGAATACGTCATCTATGTTACTAGCGGTAACCTCCGATCAGTACGTCATCACGAAATGTACATGAAAATCCTAATAGTTTAATACTATAAGCATACAGGCTTACTATCGTACGTGTTTAATGTCAACGATTTGGCATTTAAATTTTCGAAAAATCACGTTCTAAAAAACACAAGTAAATTCATATAACAGTCAGTACGGAGATGTCTGGGTACATGGATCAGGATAAATACTGGGGGCATCAATCGCAAGGCCAATATAATTTTGATGCTTCTGCATTTGAGCAACCCAACCAACAATTCGAATTCCAGACATATGATCAACAATCGGAAAACATTCAAAATGCCGACAGCGGCGATATGTTCAATCAAGATGCTTTTATAAAAGGTGAATATTTAAAACCAGTGTCGCATATGGAATTTATTCAGATACGAATTCTAATCGCTTTAAATATGAAAGTATAGGTTCGAATAGATTTGTAGACGAAGAGGAAGAACCGCCACTTTTGGAAGAACTAGGCATAGATATTGATCGAATATTGCAAAAGACATTAGCCGTTTTAAATCCGTTTCACAGAAGGGGACAAATCGATGATGCAAATTATTTACTACAGGATTCTGATTTAGCTGGGCCAATCACATTTTGCTTAATACTTGCTGCATTTCTTTCGATAGCTGCCTCGAAGGCATACTTTGGTCACATTTATGGTTTAGCCGTGATATCATGCATATTAATGTATATTCTTTTGGTATTAATGAGTAATACTAACAATATTACATTTTTTTCTGTGGCATCTATTTTAGGATACAGTTTGTTACCAGTGGTAGCATTGGCTGGTTTTAGTGTATTTATCAAATTACAAGACCCTATCGGTTTCCTTCTTATTATAATTGCGGTTACTTGGGCAACACTTTCAGCATCTAGATTTCTTTCAACTATATCTGGGGAAATGAATCAACGTCTTCTCATTGCCTATCCTTGTGCACTACTTTATGGGACATTCTCATTGATTGTATATTTCTAATAACTTATAATAAACTTAATGGTTTAAGATTTTGTCGCAAAGAATCATCGTCAAACTTTTGCTGCATACAAAAAACTTAACTCCCAAAATGTTTTTAATTTATGTAAAAAATGTTCTACAGATACCTATAAAATAAGTTTTGAAATAAAAAGCAGCATCATCATTTTAGTTTGATATTTTGTTAACATTGTGTTATTTATAAAGGAACATTGTATGTAAATTGTCATCGTAAGAACTATGTATTTGATTTTTTCTAACTTTCAAATAAAGTGTATAATAATTAGCTATATATTTTTTCTTTATATCATTGTATCAATTATCAAAGAAAGAATAGAAAATATGACGAAATTTAAATGTTTAATAATATGGTAGACCTCTTTTAGTTCTATTATTTGATTTAGGTAAATTCTTTCCTATCTCTTTTCAAACTTTAACTTTTAAATAAATAATTTCGGAAAGTTATCTACAATAATTTTGATATTGAAAGACTAAAAGAATTAAAAATTGTTCTTTTTTTTATAACATGCAACAATAATTCGAACAGCTCTGTCCATTCTATCCCTAATCATTTATTGTAAACTTCTAGATAATTCTTCCATTATTTATAGAACTTAATTAGATATACACATTAATGAGATTCATATGCATATACATTTCTACAGAAACATTTGCTAATTATTAATGAAGTTTTGAAATTTGAATAATTCGAAAAACTCCGATCACGATCGAGCGCGTATGAGAATATTTGTTATTACCTGAAATGTAAATTGTGGAACATGAATCTCCGTATTCGCCGTTGATCTAGTTTACAATGTAAATGCCGTCAATAGTATGGCAAAATGCGAATTCCTGAGGGTACTAAGCAACGTCCAGTGTTCTAATGAAGCACACACAATTCAAACACGTTCTGGCGTCACGATGCAACGCCATATTTGTGACGTCAAACCTATTTGAGCAGAAGTTCAAACTCCTGCGTTTTTAATTATTGTTTATATAAATGTTATACTATCTTCAATATTTTTAATTAGAGTAATCATTTTAAAATAATTCATGGAAAAAAGTGTCACAGAAATGAAAAAAAACTGTATGAAAAGCCTAGGCACAACAAAATATAAGAAAACATCGATATATCGATGCAAGTTATCATCGATATTAATCGATACTTTATAAAAATCTGCTTAAAATCAAGCACGTTTCGACGAATGCGTCTAAACTTTTATTGTAGAGATTACTTTATTTAAATTGAACCAAGTATTCATCAGATTAACTATTTAAAAAGACCAGTTTATGTGATTTAAAATAGTCTTTCTGCTAGCATCGACTTCGCTTGCATAAAACAAAAAAGTAGGAGAGGGAACCAAAACTGGCGCGCGATAGATATGTTCAAAAACACAGACATACGAAGAAACAGCAAAATTCTTTTATAATTATACAGGGTGTTCGGCCACCCCTGGGAAAAATTTTAATGGGGGATTCTAGAGGCTAAAATAAGACGAAAATCAAGAATATCAATTTGTTGATGGAGGCTTTGTTAAAAAGTTATTAACGTTTAAAGTTCCGCCCGTACTGAATTTTTTTCTCGAAAATTCGCAGGATTTTGGGGGGTATGTCTACTCACCAAAAATGATAGTAATTGACCCCCGCAACCGAAAATAATTTTTCCAGAACGATCTGAAATTTTTTTTTTCGACGAATAATTTCATCACCTACCCGATTTTTTTCTCGAAAGTGGATAGGATTTTGGAGGTATGTCTATACACCAAAAATGATTGTAATTGACTCTCGCAACCGAAAATAATTTTTCCAGAACAATTTGAAATTTTTGAATTTAATTGTTAATAACTTTTTAACGAAGCCTCCATCAACAAATTTGTATTCTTGATTTTCGTCTTATTTTGCCCTCTAGAATCCCTCATTAAAATTTTTCCCAGGGGTGGCCGAACACCCTGTATAACAATAATTTAAAAGGTTTTTCTATCAAGGAATAAAGTAGATCAAATTACATTAAAAATTCTTTATATCTATAAAAAGATATAGATATAGACGTGGCATTAAATGTACCTAATATAAAGAACTGTTTCCAGTACAAATTAAACAATTATTAATTATTGTTCGAGCGAAAACTATACAAGTTCCAGTTTCATAAAACGTAATTCTTATTTTTTTTCAGGCCTTCCATCAGACTCAGCACAAATTCAACAACCGATTTTAGTTTGCACAGCACACATCCACTGGGATCCAGAGTTTTGTGATGTTAAATTAATACAGACAATGATGCTCAGCAATGAATTACGTTCCATTTTGGACCAAGCTGGTCAGTCTTTTAGGCTAGGCTGCAAGTCCGACTCTTCCAGCGTTCAATTGTTACTTTGTGGTGACTTCAATTCCTTACCTGATTCTGGTACAGAATTAATTTTCTTCCATCATTTTTACGCATGCAATATTCAATGCTTAAGGTACTTTGTATACTCTTATCACTCCAAATGCCCCGCAGGTAGAAATAATAATGCTGCTACTGATTTTTATATTAATAGACAGTTTTTATTTTGAATTTTTTCCTTGAATGTACGTATTTGTGGTTGCTTTCATTTGTAACAAGCATACGTGCGTTTTAAGTGTCAGTATTATTACTACAAGAAAATATTAGTAAATTGTGTTAAATGCGTGTGCAATGTATCACTGCAACACAAACAATCGTTTAAACTTTTGTTTGTTTTTATACTTCACAGCTATGATACACTTTATGCATGACTTGTTATAAAGTATGAACTTATTATTAATTATATTAGTAAGGATTCTTTATTAATGTATATTATAAATTTTAATCGAACATGATAAAACATCGGTTATCCAAACTCGAACAATCTTTCAAAAATACATTTCTTTTAAACGCTAGTTTTGTATTTCGATAATCGGTTCGGATAATCGGTGTTCGGACAATTGATAAGTCTGCTAAAGTTCATTTAAATACAGGTGTAATCGAATTTCTTACATCGGGACGAGTAGCGGCCGATCACCGTGATTTTAAAGACTTAACATACAAATCATGCTTACAAAAGATCTCTGGGTGCGATAAACCTAATGAATTTACCCACTCGTTTAAACTCGCATCTGCCTATAGTGAAGATATTATGCCCTATACTAATTTCACGTAAGTGTTACTCGCAACATTTGTTATTATTTTTAATAAAAACGAAGTAAAAAAATACAATTATATGCTCGGCTCTGTGTACTTTTCAGATTCGATTTCAAAGGAATAATAGATTACATTTTCTACTCGAAACAAAGTATGGTACCTTTGGGACTTTTGGGCCCTTTAAACGCAGATTGGTTTAGAGAACACAAAGTGGTCGGTTGTCCACATCCTCACGTTCCATCTGGTGAGTAAATTTTTGCGGATTATAAAATGGGAGTTTATAGAAATTTTATATTATTTAGTTTACATTTTTTTTTTCTTTCTTTAAAAAGGTTTACAAAAGAAACAAAATATTTTCGTTTCAGATCATTTTCCATTATTAGTGGAATTCGAAATGACGCCAATAGTAGGAACAAGCAATGGTCTGATCTCAAGAAGGTAGCAGCAGCTGCGACCTAGGTCCAAGTAAAAATAAGGAAATAAATAAATGATAATAAAGAAAAACTCTCCATCACATTCTCTCTTACTTCTGGCTTTAGCAATATCACTCGCAGTCAACGACTATTCTAATGGAGAATATTTCAAATACTTCATATTGCCGCACATTCAACAAGATATCAGATATCAATAAATAATTCTAATGACCAGGTGAAGGGAGTCGTGTTGTAATGCGTTTAGCCCATGTATAGTGTATTGCATTTTTAAGACTTGACTTTCCCACATTAAGAATATTGTAACCTCTATTACCATCGTAATATTGTAGATACCTATTTTCCTACAAAAAGATATTCTGATCAAGCCGCTGTGATATTGACATTAACAATTGGAACAATTTCACATATTTATTAAGAAATTAGTATCTACCAGAAAACCCCTAATCTCTTCCTAAATGTCATTACAACATTCTCCAAGCCAATTTTTTGATAAGAATGCTGCCATCCAACAAGAAATTGTATTTTTAAACAAAACAAAAACTAAAAATATGAAAATATACACACTATACTGGGCTGTGCGAAACGATTGGAGTTGACTTAACAATTTCAATGCAAGTACAAATCTGTTCTTATTGGCCACATATATTGATAATAATAATGTTATATAAAGAAATAGATGATATTGTAGTGAGTTTATTTGTAAGTATGGTAATGTAATGATGTTCATCGATCATAGCATTATGAAAATCAGCTGACATTCACTCATTAGATTCAGTACAGGATATTAATGTGTACCATACCGATGTACTACTTGTTAATTCAGTTGCACTGGATCTATATATGCTGCATAATTTGATTTTTCTGATTGTATACTTGTATTTTACTGACTGGCGACAAATCGAATGCATTTTAGATCCTATGGATAATTCATTTTAAAGCTAATACATTAATGTCTGATTCGTTTCTTTTATTATTTCGAATTAAGAAACTTTATTATACATATCAAAACAAATGTATAATTCAATTTATTGACCGCAAAATGTTCATTATAATTTTAAGTTTAACGTTACGATTCCAACAGTATACGCTTTGCCAGAAAATTAAAGGATCGTATTGTAATCGTTTAAAAAATCGCGAAATTCAAAATTCTGTAATTTCGTGAAAAATAATCGTGCAGCAATGTGGGAAAAGAATTTTTAAATCTTGCATTTTAGCTCTTTTTATTACACCATGCGGGAAATGCGTGTCGGATATGCATGGACGATATTGAGATGTGAATGAAGCGTGTGTGGGATACTGTAGAAAAAGTCTGGAACGAATACAGAATGTGTTAAGGCCTGTGGGATTTGTGTGAAAATCCAAAAAAAGTACATTTTTGGTGCACTTATTAATATGTAGTAATATTAGGTGTTTTAAAAAACTCACTGCACTGTTTTTGGAATTTCTCACACATTCCACATATTTTACGCGCATTACCACGCACATTTTATAGAAAAAGAGTCAAATTGCAATTTTTCAAACATCGCGATATCTCTGTGTAAGAAAATTATAATCTATCAAAAAATGGCAGAATCAAAGGCGAGACTGCGCCATTAAAATTGACAATTTTGTGTATTCCGCGTGTAATTTCAAGTGTGAGGAATTTTTAAAAATTTGACACGATTAATGTGAAAGCCATTTTGTTACAGAACTACAAGAACTTTGAGTCTTGCTTTTTTCAGGTAATTATAAAACGATCGTTTAACTAATTATCTGACGGGGGCGTCTTGTAATTCAATTCCTAGAATAGTTACTAGTTAAGACAGAAAAGCTTGACATAATAAGTATAACTTAAAAATGTATGAACAAAGAAATGCAAATCTATATTAATTTGTTCTCTATAGAAATTTTACTTCTGTAAATAATATACACGAAATATCAATCGTAATCGATTATTTTATAAGTTTCATTGTTCAAATTTATTTATACTCAAAATAATATAATATTTTTCTAAATGTTTTATAAACACTTTATTAGTTTTTTGTCAGACTGCTTACACAATAGTAAGTTGTAATAGATACTTTTCCATGTTAGCATTGTATTTATAATATATAATCCAGGCATGTCAAACGCACGGCCCGCAGGCTGCCATGCGACCCGATCCATTCCCTTGGTTTTTATATTTCTTTTATTGCTCCGGCAACCAACAAATTCACTTTTATTCATTTGGTAGATGAACTACTTAAATTAAACCTTTTTAGTAATTTATTAAGAGTTTATACCAAAGTTTGAGATATTGGTGAATACAAAACGGTGCCATCTTCAAAAAGCGAAATAATATTTTTTAGGGCAAAAAATTGTGGTATTAAAGTACCCCGTTCTTATAAATAAATACATCCTGTTGTTTTCTTACTTTAGGAATAATTGTTTTCTTTTTAATCCTCCGAGCGCGTTTGCTTGCAACAAAAGGGTGTTTGGCATGACTGAAAAATAGTCTTTAAAATATTGTAGCAAGTGCAAAATAGCCTTTGGACAAAAATGAGTTTGACATGCCTGTTGCAATCATTATAACATAATAATAGCAATTTATTATATATTTAAAAATGTAATGCCAGTTTTCTTTATAGTATTATGAGTTTTATGGCATCGAAAACACTGATATTATTGTATAATATTAATTTAAATTTTTTATTTCTTACATACTGATGTAAAAATTATTTTACGCAACATCAATAATGATAAAGGATCCATAGACGTACTTAAATATCCTTTATCATGTGCAATTGTTAATATTTCTAAAAAGATCTTTAAAATGAAACGGCACTACCATTACTCTTCAAAATTTTGATTATATGTAATAAATGTGATAAATGTAAAATGAGCTTGTATTCTATTCATATTTGTCAAGAGTAACAACTGAATTATACAAGTAGTATAAAAATAGTTTATAAAGACATGTTTGTAGTAAATGTTGTATAAAATAGATAATTACATTATAGTTTTAATTAATGAAAATAGAAATGGCAATCTCTATTTGTATATACATTCGTATATTATCCACGAACCATATTCTCACATTATAAAACAGTAATGCATACGTAAAATGTTGTAAGACGATTAATCATAATTTCGGGCCTACATTAAAATTTCACATTATACTTCGTGTTGTTCAAAAAATTAAAAAACTTGATTTTTTGTTCCAGCATGTGTACTTATTTCACCAGCGATAGATTCGTAATATTAGGAAAACGAAGTATAAAATCGATCGAATGTCTGACGCAGTTTTCTGTCTGTGATTTATGGGGTTCTACAACTTCGTTACACTATACGGAACGCGATGGAAATTAGAATTTAACACGAAAGCGACTGTGTCGTTTGAAATACGCGATTTATATGTATATATTCACGTGAAAACGATAATTTGAGGATCGTCTTATAAACGTATTACGCTCAACCAAACAAAAAAAATGGATTTCAGCAAAACGAGAACACGTTCGTCCTTTAACATTACCGTTCCATTCGAACCTACTTGACGCGAAACGAACTTCAATCAATGGTAAATACGTAACTGATCAAAAGAACACGGTAATGTTTCTCAAGAGTACTTGTTGCTGAACTTCGCCCATTAATCATGTATGTATGTACATATATTAATGGTGATTTGTATGATATATTAGAGACACATAATATAATAATAATAATAATAGTAATAGTGATAATAATGATGTCTTCTACTGTACTCTACTTAGTAATTTCTATTGCTAAAAGAATTTTTCAGAGCTCACTTTTTGTTACTTTTTAAAAATTAATACTAGGGTCAGTCAATGCCAAATCGGACACTTTTTGAAGTAACATTTCGGATTTTGCTGAAATTTAGATACATACTGTAGTCCGTAGCAATGTTTAAGTGTACTATAAATGATCTGTCAATATTTTCAAAATTGTTGAATTTACCAAAAGTTTGAATGACAATGCTAACTTCTTTTCGATAAATTGTAACTGTTGAACTAGCAATCGAACGAGATGAAAATTATGTTTACTTACAGTGAAGACTAACGGAGCACGGAATAAAAATTACATCGGATTTATGGAAAATTTCTTTAATCCAACAAAATTGCAAAAATCGCTGCGCGTGACCTCTTCGCAGATTAGTTTTCAAAGTTGACTCGATTAATGGTGAAAAACGAATATGTATTTCTGCAAAATAATCCTAAAAAATTATTTAACAAATATGTATTTATATTTGTTATGTTAAGAATATTTATTTTTAACTGAAGTAACTTTTATTTAATAGCCCTTAAGTAGTCTTCAGTGTAGACGCTAAAAATATAATTTTCAGTATTTCCTCTGTTCTTTCAACATTATTGTTCCGAATCTTCTCTGTTACAAAAAATTTGAAGTATCCTTTCAATGGTATCGTTGAAATATATTTTTTGTGATGTAACGTCCTGGGGACAACTAAAAGTCCGAACCAAACGATGATATCTGTTTTGTTTGGGTTCTTGTTCCTACTCTTACGTGTCCTGGCGACTAAAAGATGATTTTTTATTGCATATAGAGAGGGCAAGCGCCGGACGGCAGAGTGGGAAGCGAGAAAAAAGAGATAAGGATTTTGGGTGTTTCACCAAAGCCCAGGACAGAGGACTCGTCGGCCAGGCTATAGGGCTGACCTTTTATTAGAAAAGTAAGACAAAGAACTATTTGGAAATTTGTATATATAAAAATAGACCACGATCGAGAATTTGCGAGAAAATCTCAGTAGAATTTATTTAGATAAAGCCACAGCGCTTACTGGCGGGCCTCTAAACGTCCCAGGACGTCACAGTGACTTAAATGTACTCAAATATTTTATATATTATAATAAATTTTCATTCGAATAAATCGACGAATAAAAGTAGAAGGTTAAACAAATACACGACTCTGCGAACGATGTAAAACATTGACACACGCGAACATCAACTTCAGACCCCCATAACTTCCGATTCCCGACAACCATAACTCAACTCCTACACCTTATTCACAATTAGTGATGGGATTTGAAACGCTTCGAATCTATAAAATTCCCGACACCCGAAATTCAAGCCCCATACTCAAATATAATGGCCTCAATCCGTTCGTTCTTATTAAATAAAAAAAAGTATATAAAACTAAACAAATAAGTCATTTATTTCTTTTATCTCTTTTATGATTTGTTTAAGTTTCGAAATTTTTTGAGCGATGAGAGTATTTTCGTTTAAATAACGGTGGCATTAAAAATTATAGCCAACCAACTACTAAAATCGGTAAAGCTAGCAAACGTAGAAAAGTCTTTTTACCCTTACATGGTGTACAGAGTTGCTATTATTAATGATTTTATCCGATATTCAAAAATACTATTACAGACAACTTATACGAGTAGATTTCCAGCCAATGTATTTTTTGGGGGTTTCGAAACCCCATTACCATTTTCGTGTCACTCGCAATGTTATCAACAGATTCAGAAATTAACACAAGAGGAAGTGAGACAGAAAATAAAATTACATAAATTTTATTATTTTTTAACGGAATTAAAGCTGTAGGGTCCATCATTGGAGTAATCAATCGATTAAGAGTATTTAAAAATTTCAAGATTATTAAAATTCCTAAGGATGTATTTCATTGATACGTACACCGCAAATTCTCTATTTTTTATTTTAAATTGTAATACATCATTTATTAAAAAAATAACTCGGCAGAAACGTATTTGCGACTCGAAATCAGTTTAATCAGACTGTGCATCGGGCCCCCGGAAACTCCTCATTCCTCACTTTCACACACTATGCCCAATTGCGTGTACGTGAGCTCGTTGAGTTTCGGAAGAGCCGAGAAGAATAGGCTGATACTCGCTTTCCTTCTCGCTCTTGCATCGCTGACGTCGCTTACATTTCTCGAAAGCAAGCCTGCTGGCATCGCCACCCGTTCGAATCGTCAGTAAACGACAAAAGCCATCGTGACTGACAGACCTTACATTTCTCGAAATCGGACCTGGGCGCTATTTGAAGATTCATTGACTTTCCATACGAAGCGACCATGCGTTATATACATATATGTACATGTTATACATGCTAGGAACTATAAACTTGTATAACTTTCGTCGTATATCTACTTTCTAATAACATAGGAAAATTTTAAAATATAAAAAAATTTAAGAATACTGTAGAATTTTTGCAATGGAGAATTATTGAAGGAAAATGAATTGATTATATACATATGTATATGTATATCGGAC